CGGAACAGAGTGCACGCTGGGCCCACTCGAAGGCCATCCATGAACACAGTCATCTTGACGTGTCCGTTTTGTGGTGTAGCAGGATTAGCAAAATTTGCGAGACTGCTGGATCCAACTTACTAACAACGCCCAGACACCGACTAACGGAGGGGTCCCCGATGATCCGTGATCTGCTGAACTTTCCCCACCTTGTGTACCCGTCGGTAGGGCGGGATCTTGCTCTCTCGATAAATTCCAAAGAGTTCAAGTGGTGAAGCTTGAGTGTCTTGGCGAGACGTGAGGATGGGGTGGAGCAGTAGTGGTAAGACCTTCACTCTGCGTCCGTAGTTGTTCCTGGATCCTAAGCGAATATTCGAGCTTGGTGGATCCAGGGCCTAGATCTGGAATCTGGCCGTAGGGTTGTCTTGCGGGTGTGTTCCCTTGCCTTGGTTTTCCTTTGCGTCGTACTTGCCGCCTCCTGTAGCGAGATCTTGATAGTTGAGAGCTTCTTAGCTATACCGGCCAAGTAGTAAATCCGGTTAGCCCTTCGGTTCTGTACGTGCAAAGGAAAGCTCACTAGGCTATAGGATCTGGCCAATGTATTATTCAGTTATCGCTACCAGCACTAGATTCGCAATTCCCAACCTTCACCGAGCTCGCTCGGCCAATGTAGCTCCGATTCTTGAGGACAGGAAGGCACTTGCGTGATACTGTGCAAATTGAGGTCTGATTCATAGTTAAGCCTATATATGCCTGGATTTATACCTTCTATGTCTTTAACCTACTAAATCCTACACCAGGCTCGGCTGCATGTCCTTTTTCTCCTTGACCCATCATCCCAGCTGTATTAGCATCAGATCCACCCAATCCATTGGCGTAATCATAACGAGGTCGCCATATTATGGGTACACTATTCTGAATCCAGGTCACTTTGATCCACCTCACTGCAAGTGTACACTCATCACGGATCTGAGCTCTCCAATCCTTCAACATCGTCTTACGACTATCTGCGGTCTCCATCACTCCACGAAAGTTCGAGATCCGTTGCATCCACCATCCCCATATCCTGGATCCAGGTCACTCCGTGTGGGATCCTTAATCCCTTGGATCTGGACTTGGCAAAGTGCGATCTGAGACTTATAGCGGTGGATCTTGTCTCCGCGTTTGTCATTGATACCAGATCCACCTCCAGATGACATCTACCGTCTTTTCTCCATAGGATCCTCACTCGATCCACCCGCGCATGGTGTTTCCCATATCCCCTAAGTATAATCGGGTGAGGTGGATCCGAGTCTCCACTTGGTGGATCCTGCCTTCCCGTACGTTATCCATGCCAGATTTATCGTCGACCCATATAGGTTGCCGCTTACCTTGGCCCAATTCACTTCGAGCAGCGCGGATCCATGCCGGGCCATCCAGATCCCCCCTAACCACCGGGTGTTGTCACTAATCTGGGATAATGACTCCTTGTCAGATCCAGTCTCTTATTTCTGAGAAAGCACTTCACCACAGTTGAGTGGGTTTCCCACTATGGACGCCGTAAGCTCCCGTATCTCTTGGACGTACTCATGCAGCGCGTTCCTTGCTTGCATGAGAGGAAGCGCGAACGCTGCCGGTACTCGTAGTTCGCCGGAAGGAGCGCGGCTCGGAGCTGTTCGCACAGCTGAGCCCAGGATGTGAAACATCCAGGCGATGTCACCTCCCGCGTGTACACCGAACTCTTAGCACGACCGCTAAGGTTGGAGAGCGCAAAGGCAACGCGGAGCTGCTCGGTCGAGATCAGAGCCGCGTCCATCGCAAGCTCTACTTCTCGAACCCAGAAGTGAAGGTTCTCACCTTCCTTCCCTTCATACGGCTTCACCTTCAGCCGTATTGGCTTCGGGTGCGACGGGCTTGTTTCCGCCGCCGGAGCCTGCAGGTTTTCCCGCACATGTGCGATGAGCCCCTGTCCGTAAGCGTCAAACGCATTGACACGCTCGAGCTGCTAGGCCGGCGTTGACGCCACCAAGCTCTGCAGGGCCTCCATCCCGAAGATGCCAGCCATCTTCCGAACCGACTCAATCTGTGTGTCGTTCAGATGGGAGAAGTCGTTCTTATCCATGGCGACGAACTTCAGAGAGGTTCAGTTAGACTACCCGCGTTGGCATGGATTGGCTACAAGTGCTACCAAGTGTGACGGGGTCACACAGCACCTTGCGCTAGAGGAAGTTGGCTTCCGATAGTATACAAACTCTCAGTGAACGGCAGTTCACAGGTGTAACGGGGTACGTAGCCCTAAGTATACCCCTAGTTACATGAAGTGTGACACGTCATACTTCGCGATATTTGGTACACGGTACCAGGATCGCCCGAGGCCAACCATTGGCTGATGACATTGCTTCTATATAGGCGACCTATAGTTTGTTTATTTAACTCAAGCTTAGCCTACCTATAAATATTCTTAGTTTACAACCTACCTTGAATCGGTCACTTCGCTCCCTTCAGCTGCCGTTCACTGAGAGTTTGTATACTCTCGGAAGCCAACTTCCTCTAGCGCAAGGTGCTGTGTGACCCCGTCACAACAGGCCCCTTTTGTTGAAGGGGGGGGGGGGTAAGTTGTAAAATAAACTGAATATTTTAATAGGTAGGCTAAGCTTGAGCTAAATATTATCGAAAACCAATGTCATCAGCCAATGGCTGGCCTCGGACGACCCTAGAACATTTCTTTCGTGAAAGAAATGCTCTGAAAAATGTAAAATAAAAAACTTGCAAAACATCGAATGTGCGCATGCCGACTTTTGTCGTGTGTGTGTGTTTTTTTTTGTCATCTACCGGTTCCCCCCTGTCCTAAGCGATTTAGCCGTGTGCGCAGCTTATTGTAGGTTTTGGGTTGCTACACAAAAATAGTAGTTAAAACTTAAGATTTAGGTAAATTCACTGATATTTAAATTGTTTATTTTAGCCAATAAAAAAGTGGACACGGCGGAATTCGAACTCGCGTCCATCCGCAAAATTGCGGATGGACGTGACCAAGTCCACTTGGTTACCTTTGCAAATCTACTACATGTATTTATGGTTATCGCTAGGAGAAGAGATCATTATCCGAGGCATCACTACTCGCATACTCGTCATCACTACGACGGACTTACCCACGACGCCGAGATCATTGAGCTTTGTTACAAGGTCTGTAATATGGGAAGAATCCGAATTAATGTCTTCCTTGTCAGCTACGCGCACGTCACACAGAAGCCCAGCTTTAGCAAAACCAGCAATAATTGTCTTAGAGCTGAGCTCTTTCCAGCTTTCGGTAATCCATGACGCAATATCCACACGCTTGGGCGCCACCATCTCAAACTTTGAGCTTGGTATCTGCTCGTGGAGGCTGCGAATCTTCTCACGGGCAACTTCTTGTATTTCAGCCCGGGAAATGGCCGCCACTTCAACGGCAACCTTACGGCGCTGCTCCTCGAGATCTCCCTCGAGCGCGTGGTGATTCGATATCTGATTGCGTAGTAGATCTAGCCACCTTGCCCGTAATCTGCTCTTAAACGGTTGGTTCCATGCCACGTCAGCAGGTTGACAGACATAAGTGTACCGTGGAGGTACTTTCATCAACACGATGTTAATTGCAGTCGCATAGTCAGCCACTTCTTTGGTCCAATGCCCCGAAAAATCATCCCACAAGAGTAATATCTTCTCATCCATGTTTTCGCGAAACCCAAAATGGTACTCTAAAAATTCCAACGAGATGCGAGCATTCCACCATGCTGTAGGATTACCGTAGCCTCGACAACCATGCAGCGCTTGTAGGCCAAAGGCCTCTTTCTACAGACGAACGCTAAATCCGTGACGCACTGCGTCATTCTTTTCCTGCACGTGATCATGACGAGAAACACCACTCTTGAATATAAGGAAAGGAGGATACTTATTACCTTGCCAATCACCCAGCAGCATCACTGTGGTGCGCTCCTTGTCCTTGCCGCTACACTTCACCCAAACCGTTTTTGCTCCCTTCGCATTAATGGTTTTGCTTGGTAAATACTCAAAGAAAACGGCTGCATCAGAATAAAGTTAGTTTACAAGCGTATATCCGAGTTGTCCACATGAGCGACGGCCTCACCTGTCTGATCAGCGTTGAACACATGACTGATGTTGTGCCCCCCCCCCCTCGCTGCCCAAGTCGTTCAAAGGAAAGAAGAAAATAGTAGCAGTAAAAATAAACTGAATAACTTACCACAAGAGTCCATTGCATAACTAGCAGCTTTAACCTGTCCACTAAAGGCCTCTTTCGCTGCCAATGCGTCCTCTGGGGTCGTCTGACCCTGCCGTGTGCGAGCCCGGATTGAGATTCTGTGTCGCCGCATAAACCTCCTCCTCCATGAATGCGAAGCCTTGAAAGTATCGGACGACAAATCTTCGTCAGCAGCCACTTCGAGTGCCTTAAACTTCAGCATTTGCGAGGTGACAGGACAGCCGTCTTTGCGCATTGAATTTATCCACAAGACGATAGCACTCTCAGCCTCACTGGAAAGTATCGTTCCTTGTCTACTACACCGAAGATTCTTGTGATGGCCATGTCCACCTTCGCAAACGGCTTGTATCTGCGCAGCCTGCTTTTTCCACTTCGATATCTGTTTTTGCTTGCGCTTTCTGTCTGAGCTACATGTAGATAAGGGCGGAAAGAAGTGAGCTATTGCATCATTCACAGTATGCTTAGATTTCGGATATTGTAGTATGGTACGCTTGTGAGCATAGTCTACAGCAATACGAGTAAACCTCTTTGGCCTTCTGCCTGTTCCAGATGAGCGTGGGTGTGTTCGGCATGTGACAAAGTCAAATGTGTGGCAGGAACAGTCTCATAATTAACTGGTTGTGAGAGTATTTTTAGCTGTGGACATAATTCTTTATAAAATAAAAATTCGCTTAGGACAAGACTTCGCTTAGGACAGGGGGAAGGCGGTACGTGGATTTTGGCAACAAGCTTTCGCTATGTCATTCTCTACGATATCCGATGGGCCCATGGCCCGCTAGCCAATGAGGCCAGCGTCATAGCCAATCTAGCTAATATACGCCTTTTTCAGCGACTTAGCAGTGCACAGACCGGCGGACGTCATGATCTGCTCGCCCTTGTACGTCGCCACGCAGTTCTCGTCGGTCACGAAGTCCGGCAAGACCTTCTCCAGCACCTTCTGCTTCTTGATCTGCGCCGCCGACAGCGGCTCACCGCTCTCCGATGCAATTGTCACGCGCTCACCAACCTTGGCGTCGGCGGGGGGCTCCACGAACTGGACGTTTTCGTGAGCCTCATCACATGCGCATAGCACCATGCCGTGCGACTTGAAGCCACCCAGTTTAGCCGGCTTGAGGTTCAGCAGCACCAGCACCTTGCGGTTCTGCATCTCCTCCAGCGAGTAAAATGACTGCAGACCAGACGCGATCTGCTTGGGCTCCTCCTCACCAATGTCAATCTCCTCACAGTACAGTTTGTCCGATTCCGGGTGCTTCCACGCCTTGGAGATTACACCCACGCGGACGTCCAGTGAGGCAAAGAGCGGCGTAGCAGGCTTCACAAGCTTGGCTTTCGCAGGCTTGGCCTTAGCGGCAGCAGCCTCGCTTTGCTTGTGCTTCTCCTCCTCCGTCAGGATCTTGTTGAACAGAATGCCGCCAATGGACACCTCAGTGCCAGGCTTCAGGTTGTCATATTCTGGGGACAACGCTGTCAGCGTCGTGGGGGGCGTGCCTAGCTTATCGAAGATGATTTGGGCAGTCTGAGGGATGATAGCGCTCAGGTAGTGAGCCAGGACGTAGATGGCCTCCAGACACGTGCGCACCACGACGAGACGCGGCTCATTCTCCTTCATGTGCCACGGCTCCTTCTCCGTCAGGTACTTGTTCGTGTCCTTGAGAGTATTGACAATCGCAATGCAAGCGTTCTGCAACGAGAAGTCCTTGTACGAGTCCTCCGAGTACTTCAGCAGCTCATAGATGTCAAAAGGTTTGTCAGCCTTGGCCAGAGGCACCACGCCGTTCGAGTACTTCTTGCAGATGTTGACTGTGCGATGCACCAGGTTGCCCAGCGTGTCGGCGAGCTCCGAATTATGAATATTGATGAGATCATCCTCGGAAAAGGGCATATCCTGGCCGAACTTCGCCGAGCGCACAATAAAGTAACGGAACGACTCCAGTCCGTACCTTTCGATCATCGCATACGGGTCGATGACGTTGCCAACGCTCTTGCTCATCTTGGAGCCGTCTTTGGCGTTCACGAAGCCGTGCGCGAACACACGCTTGGGCAGCGGGATACCGGTGCTCATCAGGATGCAGGGCCAGATGACGCAGTGGAACCACGTGATGTCCTTACCAATAATATGCACGTTAGCAGGCCAGTAACGAGCTTCCGGGCCGTCTGGGTAGCCGATGGCCGACAGATAATTGGCCAGCGCATCGAACCACACGTACAGCACGTGCTTGGGGTCGTTAAGGATCGGAACACCGTGCGCAAAGGTATTACGCGAGGCTGAGAGGTCCTGAAGTGGCTCCTTAAGGCGGCGCAGCAGCTCCTGGCGACGCACCTCTGGCTGCAGGAAGTCGGGGTTCTCTTCGATGTGCTTGACGAGGCGATCCTGGTACTTGGACATCTTGAAGAAATACGACTGCTCCTGCATCTTCTTAAAAGACGTTCCTGTGGTAGGGTCCTTGTAGTCCGTAAGCTGGGCCTCGGTCTCGGTCACGAACATCTCCTCGCGCACGTTATACCATCCCTCGTACGTGCCAAGGTACACGTCGCCCTTGTCAAGGGCTTGCTGGAAGAGCCATTGGGCAAACTTCTTATGCACGTCACTAGTAGTTCGGATGAAATTGTTGTTGCTCATGTTGAGATCCTTAGTTAGCTGCTGGAAGATACCGGCGTACTTGTCCACCAGCTGCTGGGGCGTGACACCGGCTGCCTCCGCTGTCTGTGCGATCTTCTGACCGTGCTCATCCGTTCCCGTAAGGAAGTACACGTCGCGGCCGAACACGCGGTGGTAGCGGCAGATGACATCAGAGCACACGTTCTCATAGGCGTGGCCCATGTGCGGCAGGCCGTTCGTGTAGTGGATGGCCGTCGTCAAGTAGAACGTCTCGCGCGAGGGCTTGCTCGCCTCCAGCTTCGTCTGCAGCTGTTCCACGCGCGCATCCTGCTGCTGCTGTGCCACCTCCAGCTTGTCCACGCGGGCAGCGAGGTCCGCGGTTGTCGACATGTTCTCTTGCTTGCTTGCTTTCGGGCAAATCCTTCCCCACGACTGGTTCGCACATGCATTCGAGTGACGCGCGACCTATCTGACTGGCTGAAAAGAATGTGAGCTATCAGCTCATCCATTAGTCAAAATACCTTCTAACAAGCCAATAGGAGCTCAGCCTGATCGTCCAATCACCGATCGCTGCAGCTTCGAATTTCCCGCCAAATCCAAGCACGCCGCGTCGCACGCTAAGACATGGTGGTGCACGGCAGTAGGTCGTCCAGCTCTCTCTCGAGCGCCGCCACAGACAAGCGCCGCATGGCATACAGCAGCAGCAACAACAGCACTACCCTCCACAAGCTTGCCGATGATTCGGGCTCCTTCGGCTCCATGCTGGACCAGCTGCACGCCGAGCAAAAGGGCACCATAGAGGCGCTGACGTGCCAAGTTGAGTTCTATCGCCAACGCGAGGAGCGGGCGCGGCAGGAGCTCGCGACCCTACGGCGATTTCTTCCTCTGGCCAAGGGCGACGACACCTCCGCTTCTGTGGCCAAGCTGGCGAGCGAGAACCGCGCACTAGGCGACGAGCTGGATGCTCTGGGTGCCAAGAAGAGCAGCTGGGACAGGGAGCGCGCGCGTCTCGAGCGCCAAAAGAAGGAGCTAGAGCGTCAGCTCAAAGATGCTAAGCACACACTCACGAGCTTCTCGCAGGCGATCGAGCAGCTAGAGATCAAGATGCAACGCAAGGAGGCGGAGGTGCAGACGCGTTGCCTCGAGCTGGAGCAGGAACTGAGCGACAAGACGAATGATTGTGATCTACTTCAGCAGGACAAGGCGGACGTTCTGCTACAACTTGAAAACCTCCAGACGGCCAGCGAGGAGAACGCCCGTCTGCGAAATGAGCTGCGGACTTTGCTCCACACAGCGGGATGCGGCTACAGCGAACACGCGGGCAGTTTACGGCTTTCGGCGGGAATTAACAATATCAGCGAGAAGTTGAGTAGCCTAGATGACGAGAAGCGCAAACAGGAAGCAGAGATCCAGGCGCTGCAGCGGAAACTGGCAGCCTCTGAGTCGGAGGTGTCGGCGACCCAGCTTGAAGTTGAGCGCAAGAACAATGAGATCAAGGAGATGCAGCTGAAGCTGGACAATTCGGCTATTATGTTGACACTTCGAGAGCAGCTGCTGGCTTCAGACGACAACTCCAGGAAGGCGATTGAGACGCAGCGACAGGAACTAACGACGTTGGTGTCGACGTTGCAGCGTGAGAAAAGTGCTCTACAGAGCGAGATCTCCAGTCTGCACAGGGAACAAGAAGCCACAAAGACTGAGCTGCAAACTGCGAAATCTCGTTTGCTATCGAAAGATCATTCGGTGCTGGTATCGACACTACGCAGTGAAGTGGCTTCATTGAAGGAACGACTTCGCAGCGAGTTCATGCACGAGAAGGACACTCTGAAAACGGAGTCGCAATCTTTGAGGCAAGAAATCACGCTACTGCGAGGACGTCTAGCAGAGAAAGACATAGCTGCCCGCAACCTCGAAAACGAGCTTCTTTGCAGCGATGAGAAGCAGAAACACACTGACTACGATATTCGGCAGTTGAAGGAGCAGATCTACCGGTTAGAAAAGGAACTTGATCAGTCTCGAGTTAAGTATCAGCAGCTCCAGCAGTGCCGAACATCCTTGGCTGAGCAGCTTGACTTTGGATTCAAGGAGCTACTGAATGACGAAGAAAGTGCCGCGTCAGCACATGAAGAGCTGGAGAAGCTTCGGAACGAACTCAGTCGCATTAAAAAGGCAAACACTGCTCTCGAAACGGAGCGACAGACGTTCATGGAGGAGCAGGAACGCATCGACCGTGTCAGCCACGACTCTTCCATGCGCCAGAATGAAAAGATCGACGAGTTGTACAGCCAACTGATGGAGAAGGACGAGATTATCACGTCGCTGAAAAATGCCGAACACCATGTTGCTTTGCTGCAGCAAGAGAAGGAATCGTGGGAGGGCGACGTCACTGACGTAAGGTTGCGATGTGAAAGTCGAGTGGAATCGGAAGTGCGCAAGGCTGATGGTCTTCGCTCTCGGATTGAGCAGCTAGAGCAAGATAAAATGTCGCTGAAGGAGCAGGTCGAAACTCTCGAAGAAGAAAGCGCAACTTGGAATGAGAAGATGCATGCGTCCGAGCTATCTCTCCGTCAGAAAGACCAGGAGTTGGAGGAGCTCAAGCGTGACATCTCTCGTCTTGAAGAAGAGCTAGCTGATGCAATCCGGCGCATTGATAGCGGACGCCAAGAAATCATGACTCGCGAGCAAAAGATGTTGAAGGAGCGTAAAAGACTGGAGCGCGAGATGGTTCAGCTGGTGCATCGTGTTGAGATCGCTGGCCAACGTAATCTCGAGCTAGGTGAGAAGGTGGTTGCACTTGCAAAGCAGTCCAAAGTGGATCAAACAGATCTTGTGGCCTTGAGCTCTCAAGTCAAGAGCTACAAGGATCAAGTGAAGACCCTGGAAAGTCAACTTTGCCAGATTCATCGTCGCCATGGACACGAATCCGATACCGTTCGTGATCTTCAGCAGAAGCTAAATGATGTTATGTGTTTAAAGGAGAGCTATCAGGTAGAGATCAACAAGTTTCGGCAGACGCTAGAGCATGTGCAGAGTGACTACAGTGTGGCAAAACGGCAGCGCGATGAGGCGGTGAAGCGTGTCCGTCTGCTGATGCAGTGCCGAGACGAAATGAAGGCGACAGCCGAGGACCATACGGCGGAGCTGGTTGAGGAGATTGAGGCGCTACAGCACCAAATGGATAGCGAACGCAAACGCTGTGCAGTATTGCTGGCCAACGAGAAGACACTGCTGCGCGATCTCCAAGAGCGAAACTCGGCCGTCACGAAGCTGCAGCACACAGTTTCAGTGCTTCAACACCAAATCCAGGACAAACCCAACAGTAACGATCGATCCAGTAACTCGACTTCTTGTCGCAGACGGTCTCGTGGCAGTAGCTCACCTGTGAATAGTGGTAATCGGTCCACGGTCTCTACAACCAGTTCCTTGTCCCCTCACCGCCACCATAGTCGTGGCGCCGAGCCGCAACAACAGCTTCGATCTAGCTCGACATCGAGCAGCGGATCGACCATGACGCCGGCGAAGGAGATGGAGCATCTGTTGACCAACTTGGAGCACATATCTGACTTCTCGGCGCAGGTGCAACGACTCCACCCTTAAGTTATTGAGAAGTTGCAAACGTGCAAGCACATGTAACTTAGTGTAAACCTGTACTTCGTAGCAAATAACGACAAGCCAAAACTGAAGTTGAACGAGAGATCGTTGTGTCGTGCTAATTTGTTTGTGTTAATCGCGTCGACTGCCAGTCGCTCGTCGTTCACCAACGATCCAGCGAGCGGCATCCTGCTCGATTGGCTTCGAGTCGAAGGCACGCTCGACAAGAAAACCAAGAGCCATCCGAGCCTTCAGAAGCACGCGAGTCCGCTGGTTGCCGATGCATTAATGCACTTGCCTTCCCTGCGCGTTGTCCCCGGGTGGCGTCTAAAAATCTACATGTACTCCAAGACAGGACGGATACGAAGTACAGTACCAGTTGAAGCGACTTTGGCCACGTCACTGGGAAAAATTAGCTGCGTGTGTAACGAACGTGCATTACAAATACCTAATGCATATTGTGTTCGATTTGTGTGTAAGTGGTTTTTTGGAGCGTCCGCCCCTTTGTTAGAGCTCCGTCACAAGTAGATCGGCGGCGCGCGTCCAAGCAGCTTCGAAGACGGCGAGCATGAGTAACGAGCACGCGGGCGACACTCCCGATTGGATGCAGGAGCAGGCAGCTGAATACCAGGACCTGGTGGGAAGCTTCGTGGAGTCCGTTGTGGACTCTGACACTGATGAGATCCTCGAGTACCAGCTCATCTGGGAAGGCGGTGATTTGGGTGTGGCACTTACGACCCTCGAGGGCGACGATGGCGGCGTAGCTGTCAGCCGTGTGACTGGAAAAGGTTTCCCCTTTGGCATCAAGAACGTCGGACCGGGTGACCTTCTGCTCTCCATCAACATGAAGGACACTACTAAGATGACATTGGACGACGTCGTGGCGTATCTGCAAGTATGCGACTTGCCGGCCACGCTCCGTTTCAAGAAGCTTTCTCCCGTTACGGAACAGCCACCCGTCTCGGCCCCCCGTAAGAGTACGTATGTCATCACCAGCGCTGCACAGGGCCCCACTAGCCCCATGGGCTCCCAAGCACCGCCATCGTACCCTCGTGGTTCGCAGAGAGGTTCGACCAAGTACGCCCCACCTTCTGCAAATTCATCTCATCCAGATCGCTCCTCCATGCCGGTACACAAGACGCCATCGGACTTTCCGGAACCCCCGGCACCGCCTCAGCGTCAGAGTGCAAAGGTACCCGCTGGGCAACAGCTGATGGAGTCGCCCCCGAAGCCGGCGCCTACCCTTAAGCCAGTGGCATGTACGGATGAGCCAACGTTCGTAAAGCCTGCCGTAGAGGAGGACTACCAGCTAGTGGCACCGAGCTCTCTACACAAGTCCAAGCCACAAGAGGAGAAGAAGCCTGCCTCACCGCGTGGGTCTGTTGCACCAGAGGAGAAACTCCGTGAATTGGACGGCCTCGCTCTCAGTTCGGGCGTCAACGACCTCGGCTTCGAAGACTCGGAGGACGAATCCGTGCGCGCATCCCGCGAGTCGCGTGACTCCTGGCGCGACGAGAGCTTCGATGTGGATGCCAATCATGGCGACTGGAAGGTCGACGAAGAGGAGAAGGAGGACGTTGCACCCATGGATAAAGATGGTGCCAAGGAACGATTCCAGCGAGGCAAGAGCGGCTCAACGGTTGCGATGCTTGGACATTTCTCCGTGGAAACGAAAGGGGATGGCGTGCCAATTCTTCCTGATGCCGAGGAGGCGACGGGTATCGCTCTGATTGACAATGTGAGCGATTTCTCGCCCGAAACCCATCCGTCACCTCCTCACGCCAGCGGCCAAGTGCGTCCGTCCGACGTGTCGTCTGGTTCAATGGTGTCTTCGCTGAATTCTTCCATGAACAATACGATGAACACTGATGCTCCTCGGCCGTCAGTGCGCGTGTCAATGGATAGCACGGCGCCCATTATGAAAAGTCACCCGATTGGCACATTGCACGAGATGTGTGCGAAGGGCAATCTGCGAGGTGTGGTGCAGCACTTGCGTGTGGACGGCCCCGAGGCATTGTTGAACCGAGAGCCGAACCACGGCCAGACGGGTCTGCACCTTGCAGTCAAGAGTGGCAAGGCGCCGCTTGTGAAGGTGATTCTGGAGCAGTACAAACCGCTTGAAGATATCATTAACGTTGAAGATGACAAGGGCAACACAGCGCTGCACTTTGCTGCCACGAAGACGCCGGCCATGGTGCACTTGTTGCTGGAGAACGGGGCCAGTGCTAACGTAAAGAACAGTCGGAAGTTCACACCGCTGATCATCTCGGTGATCACCTCCAAGGATGACAGCGTGATTATCCCCCGTATGCTCCTCAAGTTTGGTGCCAACCCGAATGATATGCACGACAGCCAGACTGTAATTCACACTGCCATCAGCACTGGCCGATTGAAGATTGCTGGTGCACTCGTGCGTGCAGGCGCCAAGATGGACGTGGAGGACGCCGAGGGCAAAAGCGTTTTTGAGAAGCTGCCCCGCAAAGATCTGCGATACCTGATCTCGCACATTTACTTTCCCCCCACATACATCACGAGGAAGGAACGCACCGAGTGCATGCTGTGTCGCCAGAAGTTCAAATTCGGGCACCGTGAGCACAACTGCACGCACTGTGGTCGTCTCTGTTGCGCTGAATGTTCAGCACTGCACGTCGAGATGGTAAAGTTCCCCATGGGCTTCCCCGGCCGCACCCGTCGCGGAGCTGCCAACCGCGAACAGAAGCGCGTGTGCAAGACGTGTTACAACGTGTTCAAGGAGCGCAATGACGAACCGGAGAAGAGCGACATGACCAAGTTCATCAACCGCGTGATTAACATCGAATGGGACGAGGTGAACCCCGAAAAGCTCCAGCAGGTGCAGGAAGCAAGTCGTCGCGGCGAGAAGTAAGTAGGTGTAAAAGTGTATGCCTCACGGAAGAAGTCGTCGATAGAGAGACGCTCCGTCGTACTAAATCAAATCAATCTTTGTGCTAGTCCTGGCTACTGTTTCGAGAAACGTGTCGCGGTTGGAGTTTCTAACATACTTCAGTAAATACTACTACAACGAAGACAGTCGGAGCTGCCGAGTCGAGTCGATCGTCCACTGGCACTTTCCCTCAGAGAGGGCGTGATAATCACAGATAAAAATGGTCATTTCACAGAGGGTGCGTCAATTTCACAGATCGTATGTAACCTTCACAGGACATGCCTCCTTTTCACAGACCGAGGATCCCATCTGCCTCAAGGGAATATGTTACCTAACTTCATTAAAAAAAAACCAAACCTAAACAGTAATAAAAAGGAAGTCACAATCCAACATTCACCGCAGTGTTATACATACCGATAATCGAGATCGTGGTTTGTGCTGCTCTCACCTGCGGTTGCCTCCTGCGCCTTGCCGAAGGTGCGGGACTGTCAGCAAGGGCACCGCTAAGTCTTCGCCAACCAGTAGAAGACTTTCGACCTCTAGGACGTCGCATGCGAAGACCAGACGGTGTAGTTTTGCAGAATGTTCGTTGTCTTCCGCCGCCATATCCGATTTGCAACCGCGTGTTATCACTAACCAATCTGAGATACATGCTCCGAAGTGTTCCAAGTTTGCAATACAATCGAATCGGAACCTACTGAGAGCAAGAAAACGCTATACTACCTAGATACATCAGTATTCAAATATGAGGCCGATTTAGATCCTTGGGTATTACGAAGTAATTAATAAATGCGTATAACGACTATTTATAAATAAAGATGTTTTGTGTGTCGTTACGAAACGATTATTTACAAAGTCCTTGTATTCTCCATTAGCTAAAGAAACAAATGAAGTACGAGTGGAACTTTGTAAGCTCCTATGAAAACGAAGTGCAGCTAGAAGATTATCTCGACGCGCAGAAGACATGGTGTAAGAACAAGAGTCAGCTGGAGATATGCAGTGTTTGTGAATACAATCTCGACATTCACTTTATGCGCTATCGGCTTTTCATTTGCTCCGACGAAACTTGCAAGCTGTTAGGGTCGTGCAAGTGGGTCTTGAAAGCTCTGCAGTGTCAGATCACCGATAAAATCAGTGTTTTTCAAAATTCACACCACTTGTCAGTCTCACCTGCATATCGTAAGCCCGGGGATCTGAATTGCGCAATGAAGAGATACATAAGAAGCCAGGCCGAGGTCGGATTGAAGCCGGCCGCAATAATGCACAAAATGGCTGTTGATTTGGGGCTGCCGCAGACCAATCCAAAAACACTTTTACCAAAAGTACAGTGTTTTGTACGCACGTACAGAAACAAAAGTAAAGTGGACAATGATTTCGTCGATGTGATGGTTGCAAACGCTGTTAAACATCGTTTTCGAGATGGCTGCAGCGAAACCACACCATTTACATTTGGATTCACACTTGATAGCATTGGAGAAGCTCTAATTGGTAAAGGAACTGAAGATAGCCCTCTAGTTATTGGGTTTTCGACCAAATCACTGGTCAAGAGACTCGGTCGAGCATCTGAATTTATTTTTCACTTGGATGCCACTTTCAAACTTAATACTAGAGGTTTTCCGGTTATAGTTATGGGTCTATCAGATATGTGGAGACAATTTCACCCTGTGGCTTTCTTTTTAGTCTCCGATCTAAAGAGTCCCCAATGGACTCGAGCAATTCGGGTATTGCTGGATCTGTATTACGACATTTCATCACAGAGTGTATCGTTTGGATTCGTGATGATGGATGCAGATAATGCTCAACGAAATGCATTTGAAAGTGTGGCTGGTGCTATTCTCGCTTCAGATAAGCAGCCAACGTACTTGATGTGTTTCTTTCACGTGATGTCAAATGTTAGAAAACATACCGTGGGGTTCTCGGAGGCAAACAAGAGAATTGTATACAGACATATATACAAAATTCACTACGCGCGAACCTTGGTGGATAAACAGAGTCGAATCGACGATGCTCTGGAATCATGGAAGGTTAACACCGACTTGCAGTCATTCTCCGAGTATTTTTCGGCTCAGTGGCTGGAGGGGCGCTACAGTAAATGGCAGTGTGTGGAAACTCCGACTGGAATGGCAAAAACTAACAACCCGTGTGAAAACTTCAATCGCCAATTGAAAAACACTCATTCTATGCGCAGATTGCTTCATTTAAACCCTCTTTTCATGGAGTTACTTAAAGTGAGCCAGGCAAGATCAATTTTGACAGCTACTTTTGCGACATCGACACGGGCAGCACCCCACATTATTAGAGACTTCAGAAAATTAAAGAGAGAGCGCCTTTTAACCATTACTAGTTCAGCTCGCATGAAAATTGCTTTTCTTCTGGAATCGGGGCACACTTTGGGAGAATTTCGTGTTCAACAACTAAAAGGAGCTCCTACCGATACTCGAAAAAAGAAAACAACTGATGAAGAGATTGAAACCACAACTGACCAGGAACTTGAAGCTGAAGAACAGTGTACTTTGGGATGGATTGTGACAGCTGAGAACGGACTTTGCGATTGTAGAACTATGTTCAAACTGGGCTCATGTGTTCATCTCATGGCTGTTAAAGACACACTAGGTATTTCGCTCGAAGAAAGATCCGCCCGTAGAGAAACCTTTCCGGATAAGAGACCCCACAAAAAACGAGGACGCCCAAAAGACGTTGGTCACGCTTTAAGTCTTCTTAAAAAAAAAACAGTAAAACACCATACGTCTTTGAATCTTTGAAATTTAAGATGTTGCCAAGCTTTTAAAAGAAGTGAGCTATGAAATCTCCATTCCAGTCGCTTTCCCAAAAAATCGAACGGTACCTGTTAAAATAGGTTTATCGAGGTCCTCTGTTGTGGAAGTTTTTGTCATTTCATCTTGTGCGTCTTGAGCGGCCTCCTGATATTTCACGTATGCCGCGCTAATCCGCGACACTGCAAAATTATCGGAAGGTCCATCCGTATTAGGCTCGGGATCAAAACAGGTTATTCCGCTTATAGACGAAAAAACATCACTTAAGCTTTCAGCAACGGCGACGTAGGCCTCATCCGCGGTCGTTGCCCTGTCCTTGTACTTGGAAAGCATCACCGCATATTCAGCGCTTTTTATTGCAGCGTCTAACACACCCTTCAAACTACCAGAGTCGTACGCAATACTGAGGCGGACGATCTCTTCCTTGGATGCCACTTCAAAATAACGAGCCCGAGCTTTTAGAAATCGATATTTCTTATGCATATACGATGAAGTTCCATCTGAATTGATCTTTGGTGACTGTGAAGCTCGTTTTCGGGATTCATGTGTCGTGGTCGTTATTTGTGTTTTTCGTGAAGAATTTATGTGTCTTTCATCCACAATGCCGGAGTCACATGGAGGAAAATCAGGATCATCAGTAGTAGCCATCATATTTCTTCGAGTCTCGACAGGGAGTGATAGCCAGGCCTCACGTAAGCGGGTACCCCCTCGTCCTACTAGCCATTTCGAATCGGCGATTTTAAGAGGTGCGCCTGTTAACAGTTTCCGCGATGAGGCTTGCAGTTTAGCGTAACGATTGCCATCCGTCTCTGCGAACTTCCAAACTGCTTCATGAACAAACATAATTCCGGTCTTTGTATTGAGATCTCTGAGGTAAATTCGATAATGTGGTAAAATCTAAAGGAAGATCATTCATCCTCATAGATTGCTATTGATAGTGCATTCAAGATAGCAATCTGCCTGTAGTCAGTAGTATAGTGGCAGCAAGTACAATTCTGCCGGCAGATATACGCGCACTGTAGCTAGAATAGTGAGACCCAGTACAAATCTGCCGGCACCTTTGACGGACACTTTGACTAGTATACTGACACCAAGTAGCAATCTGCCTGTAGTCAGTAGTATAGTGGCAGCAAGTACAATTCTGCCGGCAGATATACGCGCGTATTAGCTAGCATAGTGAGACCCAGTACAAATCTGCCGGCACCTTTGACGGACACTTTGACTAGTATACTGACACCAAGTAGCAATCTGCCTGTAGTCAGTAGTATAGTGGCAGCAAGTACAATTCTGCCGGCAGATATACGCGCGTTACAGCTAGCATAGTGAGACCCAGTACAAATCTGCCGGCACCTTTGACGGACACTTTGACTGGTATACTGACACCAAGTAGCAATCTGCCTGTAGTCAGTAGTATAGTGGCAGCAAGTACAATTCTGCCGGCAGATATACGCGCACTGTAGCTAGAATAGTGAGACCCAGTACAAATCTGCCGGCACCTTTGACGGACACTTTGACTAGTATACTGACACCAAGTAGCAATCTGCCTGTAGTCAGTAGTATAGTGGCAGCAAGTACAATTCTGCCGGCAGATATACGCGCGTATTAGCTAGCATAGTGAGACCCAGTACAAATCTGCCGGCACCTTTGACGGACACTTTGACTAGTATACTGACACCAAGTAGCAATCTGCCTGTAGTCAGTAGTATAGTGGCAGCAAGTACAATTCTGCCGGCAGATATACGCGCGTTACAGCTAGCATAGTGAGACCCAGTACAAATCTGCCGGCACCTTTGACGGACACTTTGACTGGTATACTGACACCAAGTAGCAATCTGCCTGTAGTCAGTAGTATAGTGGCAGCAAGTACAATTCTGCCGGCAGATATACGCGCGTTACAGCTAGCATAGTGAGACCCAGTACAAATCTGCCGGCACCTTTGACGGACACTTTGACTAGTATACTGACACCAAGTAGCAATCTGCCTGTAGTCAGTAGTATAGTGGCAGCAAGTACAATTCTGCCGGCAGATATACGCGCGTTACAGCTAGCATAGTGAGACCCAGTACAAATCTGCCGGCACCTTTGACGGACACTTTGACTAGTATACTGACACCAAGTAGCAATCTGCCTGTAGTCAGTAGTATAGTGGCAGCAAGTACAATTCTGCCGGCAGATATACGCGCGTTACAGCTAGCATAGTGAGACCCAGTACAAATCTGCCGGCACCTTTGACGGACACTTTGACTGGTATACTGACACCAAGTAGCAATCTGCCTGTAGTCAGTAGTATAGTGGCAGCAAGTACAATTCTGCCGGCAGATATACGCGCGTTACAGCTAGCATAGTGAGACCCAGTACAAATCTGCCGGCACCTTTGACGGACACTTTGACTGGTATACTGACACCAAGTAGCAATCTGCCTGTAGTCAGTAGTATAGTGGCAGCAAGTACAATTCTGCCGGCAGATATACGCGCGTTACAGCTAGCATAGTGAGACCCAGTACAAATCTGCCGGCACCTTTGACGGACACTTTGACTGGTATACTGACACCAAGTAGCAATCTGCCTGTAGTCAGTAGTATAGTGGCAGCAAGTACAATTCTGCCGGCAGATATACGCGCGTTACAGCTAGCATAGTGAGACCCAGTACAAATCTGCCGGCACCTTTGACGGACACTTTGACTAGTATACTGACACCAAGTAGCAATCTGCCTGTAGTCAGTAGTATAGTGGCAGCAAGTACAATTCTGCCGGCAGATATACGCGCGTTACAGCTAGCATAGTGAGACCCAGTACAAATCTTTTAATCTAATACATTTTCTGTATTTGTAGTTGCCCGTGTGGATTAGAGATGCTGGAATTAATAGTTCTGCCTGGAATTTACGAAGTTGACAAAATATGTAATATTAATAGTATATAAATAATTAAAATGGGAAGTTTGTTAATGTCCTCTTTCTCCAAATTCTAATTCATCATTGATTTCCATATGTGATTTGAGAAGACAGGGTACCTTTCCATGCGCTCTGTGAAAACAACGTCCTCTCTGTGATTTGACGATTTCCATCTGTAAAAAAGTATTTTTATCTTTCCCTCACAGTTATTCTTGCTGTTTCACGTAGAGCCAGAAAGAGTTCGGTGGGATTTTGCTTTGCCACCAACTCGCTTGGTCCTTAAGTCAAGTCGCTTTTTTGCTTCGCTAGAGTGTCGCACCTGCGACCTCCGCTGTGCATCTTCGTCACAGCAATGAACAAAAAAACCAATGCGTGTCTACAATGGACTCTTCACGCATTGGCAAAGCTTGCCGCTGCGCCGTAGTTGAGCGCGGCAGCAATGTTATGGATGACTGTATTACATAATACATGTATTAATATACTGTAGTACATGTACGCTCAACGGCATAGGAAATTCCCCTTGGAAAAAGCCGGTCTAACAAACTTTCCTCGTCCGATTGGGCGAGACCCAATATAAAATCACCCATTGGCTGAAAGTTTGTGCAGCCCCTCTCTTTGGAAGTCAGTTCTGGTTTTGAAGCGAGCGGAGAGAACCGAGCGTCGACGTCAACAGAGACTCACTTTTGCTACTTCCTTCTCGACCGAACGTGAGTCTGCTGCCGCTTGGCCTGGCTTCACTGGAACAGGAAGCGGGGGAGACAAAATATCTACTTACTTTGGCTGCTTGGTTCTGTTTGTCATTCTCAGTCACTCTAGGGACATTTGCCTACCACTGGGCTGCATAAACGAGCAACTTGACGACGCGACCGACGTTGCCATTGTCATAATACTCTAATAACCAGCAGCAGACCATGGCGCCCAACACTAACACCAGCGGAGACGTGTGTGTTGAGGACGCACGAAGCAGCCTCTCGCTCGACAGCTATGATGTCGGCGCAATGCTGAGCCCACGTCGCACCAACAGCAAACACAACCCGGAGGACGTTGTTATTTTCTTTGACTGGGGTACGTACGTGGTCCTTGTTGCTGTTTTACATACAGTAGTTCAGCCTTCTCACCCTCCTTATCATCCTACAGACGACACACTGATGGCGTCGTCCGCCATCGCCAAGCTCGGGCTTTGCCCCAAGTACATAAACGAAGAGCCCGAGGTCCCAGATGATGTACAAGCTGAACTGAAGGAGCTCGAAGATTCTGTCGTACAGCTTCTCGAAACAGCGCTGTCCTACGGTCGCGTAGTTATCGTGACGGCAGCTGAGACTGGCTGGGTCGAGCTCTCGGCGTCGCTCTTCATGCCGCGGCTCGTTCCATTTTTCAATACTAGCATCAAAGTCATATCTGCGCGCTCCACATACGAATACCTGTACCCGGATTGCCCGCGGCGGTGGAAGATTGAGGCATTCAACAACGAGGTGTTTCCGGTGTGGGAGTCTTACGGCGAGGAGGACTCGGCGGGTATCCCCCAACATGTCATTTCGCTCGGAGACGGCCCCACAGAACGCGAGGCGCTGATCAACGTCAAGATGCAGGCAATGGATGCATGTCACGGCAAGTCGATGAAGTTCATTGCGTACCCGAAGATCAGCGAGTTGCAGTTGGAAGTGGAGCTTATCCTCGCCAACATGGAGCACCTGTGCACTCACGAGGGCGACCTTGACCTGCAAATCACGTGGGAAATGCTGAATGGTGGCGCTTAAGCCGCTGAAGCACGCGTGCAGTTGAAGTGAGTGATGTGGGTCAATCTGGCTCGGTGCTCATGCGATGTCGAGGTGGACGGAGGAACTTCGACGCTACTGCTGCTTGATCAATGTGGATAGATGTAAAGTATGACCGCGGGCCCAAGTGCTTTTTTTGGGGAGGGCCCGACATTGAACAAGTGAGACAACGGGACTACTGCAAGCACTAGAGATGACTGCCGCCAAATGCTACGCTAAATGGAGAAGGAGCATAGTGCCGCTGCCACTTACCACCATTGCGATCACTGCTGCGTACGTACGTACATATGCCCAAGAAACCCAAGAAATAATTTATAGAATAAAAACATGTACTTAGTTGTCGAGTTTCTCATGTTTTTATTGCAATAGTCTGCATCTAGTCCGCATAGAAGCCAAAAACCACGCAAGTTGCCCAAATATGTTGCTATGACAGGGATAAATTCTTAGTGTTCCAGCATTAATGATAAGTACGCAGCGATGGGTCAGACTTACGCTGTTAAACACCGCCGAGGCGTGGTTATCATGATCGTCGTCCCACAAACAGCGAGACGTGATACGGACGTCCTGCAGTCTCTGCTGGCCGATGAACGTCTGTACGACGATCTTGTAGCGTGGGAAGCTACAATCAGTGTGGATGCGAGCTTTGACGGCGTCGGCGATAGCGATGCTCCAGCCCTTGCAGTCGCTCTCGTTAAACTCTTTGCCCTCGAGCTCCTTGGTCATACACTTGAAAATAATGTTGCACACCTTTATACGGCGGAATCTGCTACGGCTTCAGTATCATTGCCTCAAGCCAGAAAATGAGATAAACTATAAAGTGCATACCGTTCGTCCTCCGTCGGCGCCATGATGTACGTGGGCATTACCACCTTGATCACCTGGTTTCCACGCCCAGACGACATCTCCAAGTCCGCCATGGTCTGCCTGCTCCTGGCCCCCAAAAGATTTGCGACTCCTCAAGGTGACCTAACAGGAAAATACCGGTACCGCCTTTTGGCCCTTAAGCCTTGCACCAACAACTACTTGGGCATCAGCAGCTCACGGAAGCTGGTGCTAGAAACTTTTCTCGTTTTGCGTTTTTCTTTTCAGCTCGTTACTCACTCTTGTTATCACCAGTTCTTCCTGTTGCATCCTTCCCCCAACGAAAAATAATCTTAGACAAGCACAAAGACGATGTTTAAAAGGAGCAAAACGTTGCAAGGGAACTCAAGTGAACGCGCCTATCAATATGGCGACGAGCTTGACTGGTAATTAATTGCTGCTTCAACAAGGGCTCAACATCCTGGGCGAGAGGCGGCGATCGTCGATGCCATCTAGTTGCTGCTGGTGACTGCGGCGACCATAGCCGCGTGGGTGTCCACGCCGATCTGGGCGTTGAGCTTCTCCTCGGAGCCCTCGGGGGCCGACGCCAGCTGCGACTGGTATTTGGTTAATCCGGCCTGGGCCGCCTCCGGATCAATGTCTTCAACCTTAACAAGCTCCACGCACGCGATGTCCGTGACCGAGTTGGCGTGGGTCAAAGCGAAACCGCCAGCCGTGAAGAAGCTCTGCACATCCTTCTCGCGCTCGACGTGCACCTGGATGACGCCGGGCTTGAGCTGCGCCAACACGGGCGTGTGACCCGCAGTCACACCGTACTCTCCGATAACGCCGGGGATCTGCACGAGGTCCACTTCAGCGCCCTTGTAGAAGGCCTGGTACGGAGTGGTGAGGTTCAGCGTCACCTTAGTGGCCGTGGCAGCGGCCTGGTCGGTGGCGGCAGCCGACAGACGCGAAGACGTGTGTAGCGCGCGGGCAGCGAAGCGGCTCGTAGCAGACAGCATGGAACTTCCTGGGTGTGACGAGGGGGGCTGTAGCACTGTATACACGTAGCGTACGGCGAGGGGCGAGCGTGGATTCACGACGCTTGATTGGCTGTCGTGGACGTAATTACACAAGCTTTTGTTTTTACAAAAATGTGAAACTTTGTTCTACTACATATGTATTAGTATTAATAGTACAGTTGCACATTTCATTTCATTTTTGTCGTTGTATCAGTACCGGTATTGTGCTTTTCATGTAATTTGCCGTCCGATTTTACTCAAATTCGGACTTGAGGTACTCCGGTTTTTGATTTGTAAAATCACTCTGTTCGCCATTTAAATCTTTGCTGATTAGTGTAAATCGTCAGTTCCGAGTCTGGACCCCACGCGAAGGCCGCTCAAGCTACAAAAGAAGGTGCGCGTGGTCAAGGTCGCGCATGCGGTGAGCTAGAAGCCGCTCAAGCTGGAGAAGGAGTTGGGAGTGGCGCCGGCCGCGTTTGTGATAAACAAGAAGCTGTTCGAGCTGTAGAAGGTCGCGCCTGTGGGGAATCTGAAGCTTGTCGAGTGCAGAAGGAGGTGTGCGTGACCACGAACGTGCTATGGGAAGCTTCTCATCCTGTGGAAGGCGGCGATTGCAGGCCAAAGTCGTGTCTGCTGTAAACCTAGAGCTGCTCAAGCTGAAGAAGGAGAGCTGGTGACCAAGGAGCGGCTCCAGTAGCTGCGGAAAAGCCGCGCTGGTGGCCACAGAGTTGCCAAAAGAGGTGGGCGCGGACATGACCACGCCGGAGATGAATAAGGAGCGGCTCAACGTGCAACAAAGAATTGGAGATTGCGTGAAGAGTAGAGCTAGTGGCCAAGGCGCCGCTGAAGCACCTGAACGTGGTGCTGTGGTCATGGCCACACAGGTGATCTAGGAGCCGTTTGAGCAGCTAAAGGACGGATGGTCAGGTGGTCAAGGAGGTTCAGAAGAAGGTGGGTGCTACCATGGGCGGGGCCGGGTTATGGCAACGCTGGAGACGAACGAGGATAAGATGCTGAAGCCAGTCGACCGACGACTAGAACAAGGTTCGAGGACGTAATTCAACGTGGCGATAGGGTTGAACACTAATGCCACGAAGCCTCGTCAAACGTAAGTCATCGTAAAAGCTTCTATTATTGGTTTTGGTATTCATAAGCATTGGTTTAACTTAGTTTCTATTCTACAATGGCAAGCTCATCTGTCCCGCAGCTCCCGTTGCCAAGCTTGTTGACTTGTCGGATTACAGCAAAGAATGGCGAGCCAGACACCAGAGCTCTAAAACGTTTCTCCCAAGGAGTTTGTGTTGACAATAGACGACGGACCGGCAGCGCTCCGCAAGATAATTGAGAAGAAGCTGGAAGAGATGGTTCCTGGGCAATGGCAGCCTGGTTTTGCAGTCTTCCTGAAGCCATCAAATCACGCCAAGCAAAAAGACTACGTCCCACTTGTTGAAAGTAGCGCGTTCAAAGCGCAGTTAGAAGGTGTGTGGCACACAGCTCGGCGTCGAAAAAGTGGTCAAGCCGGGTTTGTACTTGAGCTCTTCGTATACATCCCCAAAGAGTCGCGAACGTCAAGCACTTCGCTCCGTCGAGCTACCGCGTCGCGTATTCAAGAGCAGATTCCCCGTGTTGCCGCTTTCTTACAGGAGTCTGGTATTACTGGTGGACCTGCTACACAAAACTATATGGCCGTTGCGCAGGCTAGACTTCCCGAGGGCAGTGATATTGAAATTCCCCAGAATACGACGTTCCGACAGCTTCTACATATTGATGAGCAAGAACGATCAATGAATGAAGAGATCGCATCGACACAGCTACAGCACGATGCAGCTTATCGCATCATTCGCGTTCAAATCCACGGCGTTCCAGTTCCACTAAAAGTCAACATAGCGGACCTCCGCGATGCCCTTGGTCTACCGCCATATAGTTTGTGCCCTCCTTTTCGAGGACCAATAGAGATTGACACGCCTGATCCAGCGCAAAATATTGTCGATACAGACCACATGGAGCCGAATGAAATGGAAAGATCACATTAAATACATCTAGTTGACCTGTATTTCAAGTTTTTGTGAATGATAACCACAATGTCTGTAAAGATTTAAACCTACAGAATCTTTTTGTCGTGTGCAGTTGTAGAGCGCAACTTTCATCACCGCAAATGGGTCAGCTTGGAATGCCATATTTGCATTTCGTTGGATCCACCTCTTAAGAAGTGAGAAGGTGACTTTAATTGGGTTTAAGTCTGGGGAATATGGAGGAAGGAACATCAGTATAGCTCCCGTTTCATGGACCAATTCCTGGAGTTCCTCGTACATGTGGATTTTTGCATTATCCATGATGACGATTGACCTCGGTAGTGGCCATCGATTCAGGTAAGGCGCAATTTTTTTTGGTCTTGAAAATCTCATGAAATATCGCTCTCGTAAAAGTACCTTCAGTAATCCCCCAACCAAAGAATTCGTTGACATCGACCGCTGCTAGCAACGAAACTCGATTCCCTCGGCTAAACGGTAGTACAGCATGAGCAGGAGTATTCCTGGCGGACCACCCATACTTCCTCAATACAGATCTGTTTGACACAACAATAGGTTAATAACCGCTTGTAGCATAAGTAAAACAAAATAAACTGATAAAACGAAGTTACTTACCGGCCGTCTTTTGACGTTTCATCTACGAAGACAAGTTGATCAGGTCCACTATAAAACGGTAGCAGACGGTTGATATATTCTTGTCGGTCTCTAGGGACACTCTCCTTCGCACGTTTTGTCAGGACCTTGCGCGTTAATCCCAGATCGAACCGTAACGCACGGCAAATTGTTGAATCTGTCAGGCTTATCGAAGCTCCGAATTGAAGTTGTAGCTCCTTTCGAAGCTCTTCAAAGTAGAAACAGGGGTGGGCGTTGACATACTCTCGCACAAATGAGCACACATGATCCGGCCACCTTGACGATCGATTTCTTGTTTTCTCGGCTAATACGTTCCCAGTCCGTTTAAAGTCGTGATACCAACGACTTAAGCTGCGCTCTGAAACACCTAAAACAGAGGCAACTGTAGCAACGTCAATGCTATAGACGTACAGTAGAACTACGCCACGCCACTTCATATCAACGGAATACATGGCTTTTCGTCGCTAGTCAAAATCTACACTGACTATCGCGTCGGTTTTGACGCAAACTGCTGGATGGCAGAGGATTCACCGCCATAGTGGAGTTGAATTGTTTAAGAGTGAGACTTAAAAGCCGAATCTACTCCGAATTTTCAAAACGAACCCTTCTTTTGTGTCTGAGCTTTTGATTGGTTATATTTACGGAGGCCCGTGATATCTATCTGGTTGTCACCTGCTAATTCTTAGTTTGTTATACCTAGCCCTTGCAATTACAGATAGTTGTTTTTATCCGTTTAGCCAAAATATATGCAAAGCACAATACATGCAAGATTTTAAAATCAGCTTGAAATGAAATCGCTGTCATTAAAGTGCGCGCTCTATACGTAACTATTGTTTGCAACGAGCGCCGCTGGGATGCTAAATTTTACAGCTAAATACAAGGGATTGGGTTTTTGTTGGGATTTTGACGTGGTTGCGGCATGACGGACCGCGATGTCCGTTTTGTCTCGACGGAGAGAAGCCCCATCTGCTCGCTCACTCGGCAGCACCGACTGCCCGTGCAATAGCGAGAGGCATACGGAGGCTCAAGTCGAGAAGAAAATGACGAGTACGAAGGCTCGACTAAAGCCACAGCACCAAGCCGACGTCGCCGTTCACCGCCATCCACGAGAGCTGCAGCCATGCCTTATTTCTTTTTGTGATGTGAGCCGTTAGCAGTGTGGTCCTGCTGCGACTCGCGCAGCGCCTCAGCCTTCTGGATCATGGCATCGCGGTTGAACGTCGCCTTAGGGTGCTTGCTGGTGTAGTGCTGCTCGTACGACTTAATGTCGGGCGATGCGCTCTATTAAATACACATCACACCGGTTAGTATCGATGGCCGTACCATGTTGTACGAGCTTATGTTCCTGTCAATATTGCCACCGCATACCATGCAGATGTCGCACGTGAAGTTAAGCTTGGCGACACCGCGTGTGGAGGCACCGGTTTTGCCTCCGCCCTTGTTGACTTGCTTTTGGCGCCTCTCGAGTTCTGCCGCCGTATGCTTTTTGAACTTGGCCTTGCCACCCATACCTGCAAATGATCTGCGCAGGACGCACTTGGACTCTTCTTCAGCAATGAACCGAGTTATATGTTGCTTCGCGTAAAGAATGGAGGAAAACGGACCGGACCGGTCCGGACCGTAACAATCACCATTGAGGTGTCGAACACCAAATAGGTGCCATCGTTAGATGAGATCTTGAAACGCCGCTACGATGCTTGTCAAGAGTCCAAATTCAACATTTAATGTTGAATTCTGCTGGGCGAAAGTAAAATGGTGACACGGTGCACCTAAGCTTCAGGTAGAGTTACTATGTCCATGTAGAGAGATTGAAATCGTTTGTGCTTGCTGCGCACGAGCAGAGTTGATTAGTGGTGCCAGTGCCACGCTACGGTATGTGGACGAATCCAGTACGATGATAAAGTACCATGCCCAGACATATCCATATAATGTACCTCCCTTGCTTGATGTCAATATATGTAAAAGGCTTAGACATTGAAGCTGTCATGTGCTTCAACCTCGCTTTACCGCCAAGCAACCATAGTGCCATAATCGGCGAGATTGGTCGAGCGTTATCATTGGTGTACTGTAAGCCAATGAGAATTCACCACAGCTTGATAACAACGCAGGGGTCAGGTTGAACCTCGCTGCTCATTACCAAACACCCGCAGCGTGCGCAACTAGCTAAAAAGGAGCGCAGTTTGCACCACCACTGTCAGCCATGGTCAAGATCGTTCCTGGAAGCGACGGCACACCGCTCAACGTGCTCGAATATGAGGAATATGCTAAGGAATACCTCCCCAAGAATGCCTACGACTACTACGCATCTGGCGCTGACGACATGGTGACACTTAAGGAGAATCGCGAAGCCTTCAAGCGTCTAGTGCTGCATCCGCGTGTACTTCGTGACGTGTCGAATATGGACACAAACACAACGCTACTGGGCCACCGTATCAGCTCTCCCGTCTGCGTGGCGCCCTCGGCCATGCACCGTATGGCGCACCCGGACGGTGAGATCGCCAGCACGTCGGCCACTGCCAAGGCCGACACGTGCTACATCCTCAGCACTATTTCCACTACAAGCCTCGAGGATGTGGCCAAAGCCAACAGACAGGCCAACCCTCATGCTCTGCGCTGGTACCAGCTCTACGTGTTCAAAGACCGCGAGATCACCCGAGGCCTCGTAAGGCGCGCCGAGAAGGCTGGCTACAAGGCCATCGTACTCACCGTAGACACGCCCATGCTCGGCCACCGAGAGCCGGATGTGCGCAACCGCTTCAGTCTTCCTAATCACCTCACAATGGCCAACTTCGCTGAGGTGGGAGGTGACCACGAGAATGGCGTCAGCAGTCTCAAGGACTCGGGACTCGCCCACTACGTCAGCGAGCTCTTTGACCTCACGCTCAACTGGAGCGACGTCAAGTGGCTCAAGAGTATCACCAAACTGCCAGTCGTCGTCAAGGGTGTGCTCAGTCCAGAAGACGCCAAGATTGCCGTCGATATGGGATGTGAAGGCGTTCTTGTGTCCAACCACGGCGCTCGACAGCTCGATGGTGTGGCTGCGACCATTGATGCGTTGCCGGCCATTGCCGAGGCTGTGGGTGGCCGTGCCGAAGTGTACCTGGACGGTGGTGTGCGTCGCGGTACGGACGTGTTCAAGGCTCTGGCGCTTGGTGCTCGTGCGGTCTTTCTTGGTCGTCCAGTTCTATTTGGCCTCGCTCACAGCGTACGTCGCCTTGACCTTTTTGTAGTGATCGCTGTGAAATCTAACTCGATGTCGTGTCGTATTGTGGTCAGGGCGAGGCCGGTGTCTCCAACGTGCTTCGCATCCTCAACGATGAGCTGAAGCACGCAATGTTGTTCTCCGGCACGGCTAAACTCGCTGACATTGGGTATGTGACTTTGCTGTGCTGTTCCTTGAGTCTTCTCGTTACTCACATGTTTGTTCATTGTGCACGTAAAGCCCTGCCTACGTTCGTCGCGGGGTGCCTCCGCTTCCCTCTTCGCTGTAAGAAGTGTAAGTCGAAGCTCTGCTAGTCGACGTTACTGTGTCGATATCAAGTCTCAGCGTAACAATAACACGTTTAACTTGTCAATACATAGCGTGCTTCAGCACTTGCAGTAGTCTTCCAACTGCTTCGCCACAATCCTACCGGCCGAGTATGCGCTGTAATGAAGACAACAAATGACTAGCCTTAGAGTGACGACGGAGGAAAAAGAGGGAGTCCACGACGCACGCACGCAGGACTGCGGACAACCAGCAAAGTAGTTAGGCATTGAAAAAGAAAAACAAGCAATACCGTACTAGAACAACGCTGTCTATAACTTGTCGCACCCAATATCAGCGAGTGAAGCGGTTCCGGCGAAAAGCATAGCGTGCTTTAGTTCGGCATTGAGAACACGCAGAACGCTTGAGACTCCAGCCTCACCCTGAACGACATCCCAGTATTAAATAGGACTCAAAATGATAAGAGATGAAGCACTGGCTCACGTACACTATGAGCAAGGCCGAAAAGGACTGGGCGTCCTACGAAGATGGCACAAGCTCCTAGGGCCAGAGCCTTAAAGACATCTGTGCCACGTCGAACGCCTCCATCCATGTACACTTCGGCCCGATCGCCGACCGCTTGAACAATTGCAGGCAGTGCGTCAATCGTAGCCGCAACTCCGTCTAGTTGTCGTGCTCCGTGGTTTGACACCAGGATACCTTCACAGCCGCTTTTCACTGCCATCACCGCATCCTCGGGCGTGAGAATACCTTTCGCTACAATAGGGAGCTTCGTGATGCTCTTCAGCCACCTGACGTCTTTCCAGCTCAAGGTCTGGTCGTACAGATCGCTCACGTAGTCTGCATAGTCTGTCGTTGCATTCTGAGGACAGAAGTTGGCCATCGTGAGGTGTTTGGGAATGATGAAGTGGTTGCGAACATCCGCTTCACGGTTCCCGAGCACCGGGGCGTCCACCGTCAGTACGATGGCCTTGTAGCCTGCTTTTTCCGCCCGACGCACCAGGCCGACCGTGATTTCTGTCAACAAGCAGGAACCATTATCGACTTAGTTGGCACACAACGCAGCTTCGGTCTGCCTTAAAAACTGAGCAGACACTTACGACGGTCTTTGAAGACGTAGAGCTGGAACCACCTGAGCGCATTTGTGTTGGCTGCACTGCTGGCCGTCGCCACGTCTTCCAACGTCGTAGTGGGCATGGTACTAAGTACGAAGCACGTATCTGCTTTTGCTGCTGCCGATGTGCTAGCGATCTCTCCGTCTGGATGCGCCATCCTATGGGTGGACGAAGGAGCTACACACACTGGGGAGCTAATGTGATGTCCCAACAGTGTCGTACTGATGTCCATCTTGGACACGTCACGGAGCACTCGAGGGTGCAGTACCAGTCGCTTGAATGCCTCGTGGTTCTCCTTCAACGTCTCCATCGAGTCTGATCCCGATCCAAAGTAGTCCATCGTGGACTTGGGCAGATACTCTCGTGCATACTCCTCAAACTCCAGCACGTTAAGAGGCGTGGTGTCGCTCCCTGGGACGATCTTCATGGCGTTGGGATGTGGTACAGACTCGGCTGATTCGCTCGAGTACGTACCGGTAATGACTCGTTGCTAATGAGCAGCAGCCACTAAGGGAAAACGTGACCGTGATGAGTGGATAATGCTTTACCTTTAGGCTTTTAACAGCAAGCTGTATTCGTGTTTTAACATGCAGGAATTCTCATCACTACATGCAGAATCATGCGGACTTACAGCGTCGGTGGTGTCGACTGCGATTCCGTCGTATCTGCTTGTGTGGGAGGGGTATCCTCCTCTTGCTTCCCCTCCGACTCTGTCGTGGCGATCGTCGTCACTGTCGTCTGGTCTTCACTCGTCTTGGCAACCTTCTGCACAGAAGCAGCGCTCTCCACTGCGCCACTCAGCGGCCTTTTTGTCAGAGAACTAACACCACCAGCAACCGAAAATGTAGGAGTGCTAGTGGTGGTGTCTCCTCCGCCAGCCGCAAAGCGAGCGAGTCGCTGGCTGCGACGCAAGGCCTCAGGGGGCGCGCTTTCTTCAGCAAGCGACAGATGCGGCGGATGTGAGCCAGCCGGAGACGGCGGCGATGGCACAGGCAACGAGATGCCTGGCTTGCCGAACACGAGGCCACTCGGGCCACCCGATCCGAACGCTCCGAAGCCAGAACCAGAGCCAAACTTGAACGGTCCGGTAGTCTCCAATGACGTCTTGGACTCGGTCTCAGTAGGTTTGGCTTCGGCAGCGTCAGCAGGAGGAGCAGGGACCTTCGTGGGGGTGAAACGAGCAACACCTCCCACCTGCTTTTTCATGGACCGGAGAGCGAACTGACGCAGCTTTTCTTCTGCTGTCATACCACTAGAATCGTCCGTGGGGGGTTCAGTCGACTCATTTAAAGGCGTTGCAGCTAGGGGTACAGGCGCTGGTGTAGATGTAGATGCAGCAGCTTGAGTCGCTTGAACTAGAGCAGGCAGAGCAGACACAGGCTTCGCGGTAGATACAACGTTAACGGGAGCACTCGCAGTCGTGGTGGTCGTAGCTGCCATCGTCGTGCTCACAGTACTAGTCGACGAGGAAGGTTGGTTCGAGGCAGCAGCGACAGCTGGAGTGGCCACAAGTGCATCTTTCGGCGCAGCAGGCTTCGCGTCCGACGTGGTAGCGCTCGCCTGCAGCGTCGACACATAATTGACAGCTGGCTTTGGTGGGGAAAAGAGTGGCGTGGGAGCTGTAGCTGGCTTCGTCGGGGGTGTAGCTGACATCGAAGGTGTCGCCTGTGGGGGCGATGCAGGTGGGGACGGCACAGGGGTCTTCTCTTGTGTCGCAGCGGACTGGGACGGCTGAGTAACACTCGCTGCGTGGTCCTTTAGCTCGCTGTTCTCCTTCTTCAAGTTCTTGAGACCAGACATCAGACGAGCGTTGAAGTCCTTCAGCTGCGTGCTCTTCTTGGTCTCTAGCTCCAGCTGAGCCTTCAGCGTCTGGCGCTCCTTTTCCCACGACGCGTTCGCCCCACTAGCAGCAGCCACGCCGTCCTGCTTCGCCGCTTCACACGCCGCCAGCTTCATTTCCAGTGCAGATTTCTCCGCTGTCACTGTGTTGATTTGCGCTTGAGCCGCGCTTAGCTTGGTCTCCAGTGTGGAGTTACTGGCGCTGCGGTCTTCCGCTTCCTTGCTCTTCTCTGCAAGTTGCTTAGTCAAAGTCTCGGCCTTGTTCTTCCAGTTCTTCGCAAAGCCCTTGATACGCTCGTACTGCTTGCTCCAGTTCTCGACCTTCTTCTTCTCCTCGTCCAGTTCCTTCCCGCCACTTGAACGCAGTGTCTCCAGCTCAGCCTTTAGCGCGCTCTGTTCGGTCTTCAACTCTGTCAGCTCCTTCGTCAACGCTTCCTTCTCAGCGACGACCTTATCATACTCGGCTGGATCAACCTGCTGATACTTCTCCACCAGTTGATCCACGCGTTGCTTCCAGCGTTTGTTGGCATCATTGAGAGTCACGACCTCTTGGTTCAAAGACGCCACCTGGGTCTTAAGAGCTGCCTCAGCGTTCTGTAGAGGCGCAATCTTGGCCTCCAAACTGCGCACCTTCGCATCCTCTTCCTTTAGCTTCGCCAACCTCTTCTGGTTCTCGTCACGCAGCGTCGCGTTGCTCTCACGCAACAGACTCAGCTGCTCCAGTTGGGCCACACGCTTCTCATCATCAGTTGCAAGCGTTGCCGTCTGCTTGCCAGTTGCAGTTGCTGTTGCTGTATCCGAAAGCGTCTTCATCTCTCCACGAAGACGCTCAACAGTCGACTCCAAGCTGAAGATCTGGGCGCGACCACGCTGAACTTCTTGCTGGGACAACTCGAGCTTCGACTCGGCAATTTCGCTCTCCCGTCGCAAGTAAGCGACCACACTCCTGAGGTCGTCGATTTCCTTCTCATGCGCGTTAGAGCCGACAGCGGCCGTCTCGCCAGCCTCTTGGTTCAAAGCAGACGACTGAGCGCCGATTACCTTCAGCATTTCTTGTTCATGCGCACGACGCACCTGGGCTGCTGCGCGCTCTAACTGGGAGTGCAGTAGCTTGTTTTGCTCCGTGAGAGCGTTCTTGGCTTCCATTGCTTCGTCAAGACGCTTCTGCAGCGTCTCAAGCTGTAGCTGCGCCTCCTTCTCAACCGACTGCACCTTGACATTCAGCGCTTCAATCTCTGCCTCACGTTCACGAACAGATCTGCGGAATTCCTCCATTTCTCGACGAGAGGATGACGACTTCGCCACCTCCGCAGCGTGCAGTTGTAGCTCACGTTCATAGTTCTCCTGGGTGGTCTCCAACTCACACCTCATCTTGCCCATCTCTTCACGCACACTGTTCATTTGTTGGACTGCACTGTCAGCTTGAAGCTGCAACATCTTCTGCTTCTCCATAGCTTCGAGAATGGACTTCTTGTGTGTTTGGTCGACTCGGTCAATCTCTTCCCGTAACTTGCTGTTCTCGGTGATGTGTTCCTTCAGCTCTGCACGGGCCTTGGCCAGCTCGTCACTCAAGCGGCCACGAGTCTTCTCGAGCGTCTGCACCTTCTCAGCCTCGCTCTGTTTCCACTTCACACTGGCACTGGATAATTCGGCCAGACTCTTCTCACTCGCTTCAGCCAGAGCCTTGTACTTGGTTACGCTTTCAGTCAATGTCTTCCTCGACACAAGCGACGCCTGCACTTCACGTTGAGCATCATGCAGCTGAACTTCCAGCATTGCTACACGTTCAGCAGCTGCGGCACTCGCTCCCTTGCGGAGCTGCTCGCGTAGATGCGTCGCCTCCTTCTCCAGCAACGCTGACTTGCTCCCCAGTGCCGTCTTCTGCTCTTCCAGTCGCACAAGCTGCTCCTTCAAGTGACCCTGCGCCTCCTTCAATTTCGCCAGTTCCGCCAGTGCTGCCTGCTTTTCCCTCTCTGCAGCCAGAGCTTGAGCACCAGAAGTAGCCTCCTTTGCGTCGAATTTTTCGTATGCTTCCTGTAGCTTCGTCTCGAGTGTCGTCACCTTCTTTGTCAAGGTTCCCACCTCTCGACGGTCACGCTCCTCGCGTCCAGTCTCCATGCGACGCGTTGACTCCATGAGCTTAAGCAAATTCGTGTTGTCCAGACGCAAGGTCGTCATCTCCTGCTGGATCTTCTCCTCGTTCTTGCGCAAAAAGTCCGCCTCACGGACAGCTGAGTCTTTCTCAACATTGAGGCTCTGCATACGCGAGTTCGCAGTCTCCAGCTTGGCTTCAGAAGTTGCGAGCATCTGCTGGTGCTGCAAGATCAACGAGCTCAGCTGATCTGTCTTGGACCGCAGACGTATCAGCTCGTTCTCAGCGTTGGCACATCGTTCCTCGGACGCTTCGTAGCGCTCCTTGTTGCACGTTGCTTCCACCTGAGCTTGCATCTGTGCTAGCCTGGACTCGGAGCTCTTGGTGCGCTCTTGGTCCAGAGCTTTCTGCAGCATCTTGAGGCTGGCCTGCTTTTCCTTCTTGTAGTCTTCAAACTCCGCCTGAACATCACGAAGCTTCCTGTTCTCGATATTGTCAAGAGATCCGCGACGGTTGCGAGGTCGCTCCACCGGCGCAGCACTCTCTTGAGCCCCAGCCGGAGCACTGCCGTCCAGGAATTTTGTGTCCGACTGAGCCAGCAAGACGCGGTACATGTCACGCTGCTTCACGATAGCTGTGATCATCTCGCGCTCCTGTTCGCGTTCAATGCGCAGCTCTTGAATCTCCTTACGAGCCATGGACAAGCGCTTTTTAATTATGTTGGAGGCTCCGATTTGGTCCAGTTCTTCGTCTGATTCGCCCGTGATAATCAGATGCGCCGACGTGTTCGTAGACTCGACGTCACTTACACTATCGCTTGACTTGTCGCTTGTCTTAGACTTGTTCATCTCCGTAAGCTCGCGAATCACTACCAGCAGTTGCTGGTTGCGCATCTGCAGTTCCTCCACGTCCCTAAACACCACCAAGTTCTCCGATCCAACGTCACCTGCTCCAACGTTGCCTAATTGCTCGTGCTGATCTTGAGAGCGAAACAGCAAGTGCTGTACCTGACGTGATAGATCGTCCACGCTTTGAGCCAGCGACTCACACTTCTTTTCAAACGCGGTCTTCTCCTTCCAGGCCTGCTGCTCGTTGCTCTTACTCTTTGCCAGCTCCTGCATGCAATGCTCCAACCGCTCGCTCAGTTGTGTGTGACTGGCTACAGTGCGTTCGTGATCCAGCCGCAGACCCATCAGAACAGGAGCCTTCTCCTGCACTTCCTTCACAATCCGGTCCATGTAGAGCTGCAGCTTGTCCTTCTCACTGCGCTCGGCTTGTAGCGTTTCCTCCAGCTCCACAATGTGATCGTACATTTGCTTGGGGGTCAGACCATGAGCTGCTAAGTGAGCTTCACCCGCAGCTGACGACAGCTCCGCCACTGCACTGGCTGTCTGTAGCGAGAAAATCTTCTTTTTCTCCAGCTCTTGGATCTTCTGCTCAGCGGTCTGAAGATCCTCTTCTAGAGCCTGGATGCGAGTCTCCGAAGCCTCAGCCTGTTCGCGGAATAAATGCTCCACCTGCTCCTTCGTGCGTTCCGTCTCGCGAGCCAGCGCTTGCTCCGAGTCCGTCAGCGACTTGCGCAGCGAGTCACACAGCGTCTGTAGTTCCGTCACGCGTGTAGAGGCGTCAGCTGCCGACTCCTGGTACAAAGTGGCGAGACGGCGCTGTGCACTGAGCTCGTTCTGTAGCGCCTCCTCGTCGTGCACCTTGGACGCGTGCAGCTCCTTAAGATCTTCCTTGCTCTTGATCAGCGCATTCTCCATCTTCTTGTTAGCAAGTCGCGCGCTTTCGAGTTGGCGCTTGGCCGACGTGAGCTCCTCCGTGCTGCGGATCTTGAGCTCCTCCAAGTCGTGCGTGTGCTTAGCCAGATCCAGACGCAGTTCTTGCACCGTCTTGGTCTTCTCACTTAGCTGTGTTTCGAGCCATTGCGAATGCTGCTGGGCTGCCTCTGTCTCCTTCTTGGCTCTGGCTAGAGCGTGGGTCAGGGGTGCCACTTGCGCCTCCTGCTTGGCTGCACGCTCGAGAGCCTGCATTTCCTGGCGCTGGGCGTCCACGAGCAGGCGGTTGTGCTCTCTAACTGTCGACTGAAGCTCCTCCACCTCCGAGAGGCGGCGCTCGGCCAGTGACGTGGCTGTCTGCAGCGTGAAGCTGAGTGCATCTTTCTCTGTCGTGAGCTGTAACAGCCGCTGCTTCAGTTCACGAGTCTCCTCTTCACGCTCAGCTACGAGCTTGGCCGCGCGCTCAGCCACCTCCACTACAGTTGGGGGGCAGACAGAGTTAGCCAGTAAACTATGAGGATCAAGGATACGAGCAACGTACGCGCTGCCTTCTTGTCCGCTGCCAGAGTATGACGCTCGCTTTCCACCAGCGAGAGCTTGCTCTTTAGGCTAAGATACTTTCCTTCCAGTTCATGTATCAGTTGCTCTGTAAAAGGTGTTAAACTGTCAGCAAAAGCTCGTGTAAGGTAGTTTCTTGGGCCGCAGCAAATCCTGCCGCAACGACGCCGTGGATGGAGGCGAAAGAAGCGTGGGTCGCTACGCACACAGAGACACAAGGGTAAAACAGGGAGACACAAGCATACGCACCCTGGTTGACGCTTGAGGCAGCCAACGCAGCCGCGTCACCCCCCGCCGACATCGCCGATTGAGTTTTGATCGTTCACCCGCCCACAAAAATCTGGTAACTATGGTAAGGCATGATTACTTCAAATCGTAGTTTATTGGTGTTAGAAACATAGGAAAACACTACATTTACAAATAATCCCCTCGGTAGTCATGCAGTAGCATCGAGATATCGCTTTAGAGGGGACCGCGCTAACACTATTTTCAGACTGATTAGGCCACAGGCTAAAAAAGTGAATTTTTCGTCAGTTATCTTATATAGCAGTATTTGTTCACGATACAACGCTATCTGGCGCAAACAATACAGTTTCAAATTTAAAACGCCATAATAATTCTAAGCTGCGATATTTTCGCATATAGCTCTATCACTTTTAATATAACTAGGCTGCAGCTGTAATATTCAAGTATACATAACAGCGTGGTATCATTTTCAAAAATATGTATCTGAAGCTAGTGCGACATCGTATTATCTATAATATATCTGGTTTTCGCGAAATCCTGGCCATTTAATTTGGAAAAAAATCAAAGCACAGAGGGGAAGTTCAGATTCACTTGTCAATTACCAAGATGCCCAGTACAGCCAGCCAAGTGTTCGACCGCCTCAACCGACAGTGGGAGGACGAGACCTCCAACCTCGTTGTTAGCCACGAGAACTATGGCGATGTCGCTCGCCATATAGAGGAAGAAGCCTCCGATTCTGGCTCACCTATTCTGTCTGAGTATATTGCGGCAGGTGGTGATAGTGCGCTAAAGGGCATGACCAACTTCTCTGCGCCCGAGCTGGATGCGCTTTGGGCTCTTGTGGAATCTGCGGTGACGATTACATGGACGCAAGGTCGTGGGCGTAAACCGTCTGTGTCGGGGAAAGACGCAATGTTCATTACCCTGACCGTGTTGAAGCATTTTGACACATGGCAGAAGCACGCGATCGATTTCAACATCGGGATTTCTACGCTGGAGAAAATGGTTCACCGTGTCATTCAGACAATTGAGCCCGTGCTGTACTCCCAGATGGTCAAGCGCGTAAGGATGTCCGAGCAGATGGAAGCTGGAAACACCTTTACAAACTATCCACATGCTCTCTACGCTACTGACGTCAAGTTCCAGCCAGCATATCGGCCTAGCGGTCGCTTTGCAGAACAGAAGGTTTACTTCTCCGGTAAGCACAAGCTCTATGGGTTCAAGATTGAGTGCTCTGTGACACCACCAGGTGTCGCTGTTGATGTTTCAGATCATTCTCCTGGATCAACGTCGGATCTGACGATGATGCTCGACAGGCTCACGATTCATCGTCAGATGCTGCGCAAGGAGGGCGGGACAACTGCTGAAATGGGAGCTGACCCAACGCAGTTTCCACATATGTGGGCCGTGCTAGTAGACAAGGGTTACCAGGGTGCAGGGCGGGTGCTTCGAACGATCCAGCCAAAGAAACAACCGCGTGGAGGCACTCTTGACCGCGACGATATTTCCCGCAACCGTGCAATTTCTTCAGATCGCGTCCTGGTTGAGAATTATTTTGGCCGGATGTGTATGCTGTGGAAAGCTACCTATGCGACCTTTAAGTGGAACGAGAACCGTTTTGATGGTGTCGCTCGGCTATGTGTGGCGTTGACCAACTTCCATGTAGGTTTGATGCCTCTACGAGCTCACGACAGCGAGCACTACGATATGGTGTTGTCCAAGTATCAGTCAATGGGCGAGCGTGTTCGCACCCAGCGTGCTAGAGCCCAGCGTCTATATCGGGCTCGGCAACAGCAGCGCTCGCGCCCTGGACCATATAGCGTTCGCTCTCGCCTATCCACATCTCAGCGCGAGACCCAATACGAATCGGACGACTCCCTAAATCATGCTTTGTAAGGCACCTTTTCCCGGTCTTATTCTGCTTGCTCCTAGCTTCCTAAGACTAAAGACATTAAATAGATTACTGTTTGCTATACCTCTACGTTTGACTTTCCAACTTGTCGTCAAAATGGATGTAATCAGGCTCCGTGCAGCTAGAAAGGATTAGGCAGCAACTTCAAAGCGGTAAAAACCACGGAAGTCGCTTAATGCCAGTTGCCCACTAATACCACACCACGCGCCGTCTTAAACTCCACAATGCACTACAGGGGTATGCGTGTGACGTTCACAGTACTTCGGCCCGTCACCCCCTTGGCCGATTGATGGCAAGTTGGAAAGTGAGGAAGATGAAGTGTCTAGCTGCTTTATTCGCACTTGTAGAGTACCTGATAGTGTATAGGCAGAACCCAGGTGTCGTTGAAATAGACCGACTCTTGGGTAGAAGCCTCCATAATTAAATTTTTGGGCCACAAATGTAGCCAACTGTTTTTCATAGGATCGTACTTATCCCAGAAGTAACGGCCTGAGCCATGAGATGCAAAAATATAAAAAAACAGCAGGGTACATGCGAAAAAAAAGCATGTGCTTTTCCAAGAATCATGTTTTCCGGAATAAGGCATGGAATTCGCATAAAATTAGATTTTATGCGAAATTAAGCACCATACGCTAAGACACACTTTTTGAGACTGTTATCTATTTGGCACGAAAATTACAAGTAGCGAAAATTTATCTTCCACCGGCGCCTAGCCCCCGCCTGTGGAGACTCTTCAGGATTTGAAAAAATGGACAAATCTCTGTGAACTTGGCCCTCACCCGGATAAAAATTATTTCCAAAGTAAGCATCGTTCGCAAGATTCAGCAAAGGGTTCATCGGCGGAAAACCTCCCGGTTGCCTACAATCAGCGAGCGTCACAGCTACAACGTTAGTCATATTCAGTCATACACCGTCCTAGAAAGAGCTGCAAGTTGCTGGTGTCACACGTGACCGTGTTGGGCTTCTTTTCCTTGATCGCGTCCTTCAGGAGATACACTGTCTTCGACTCCTCAATGAGAATAGAGAACGGCTTCTCTCCGAGGAGCGCGCAGTTTACTAGGACCATCACTCCAAGGACCGACAGATTTTGTTAATGAGGAGAAGTTATACTGGAATTACCGAAGATAATAGCAAACTTACCTAAACAAATTTATGCCCCTGACTCCGGACCTCCCAACTATCCGAACGACGGATACGTGAATGCAAATGCTAAGAGCCACTCATCATCCCCCCCCCTCCGATCGACGGAAGCAATGAACCTGGCGGAGCGAATGCGACGGTCGGCGCGGAAACGTGTGCCCCCTGAATCGGACAGTGACTACAGCGTAGATGACGAGAACAGCGTTAGTGACGGAAGCGAGTTCGCGCTAGGCACGACGTCGAGTTCGACGGAGCATATAGACAAATTCGGCCGCTCGGAAGACCTTCTTCACCAACATTCGACTCTTCCCCCTCCTGACCGCAAACGTGTTCGAGTCGTGGGATGCGTTCGACACGTACATCCGCACATATCAGAGCTTTCCTATACACGTGCAGATCCGACAGGTTAACCGAATTTACTACTTGGTCGGTTACACCCTAGAGGCTCTCAACTCTGAAGATCCCGTCACAGGAGGCGGCAAGTACGACGCAAAGGGAACGCAAAGGCAAGGGAACACACCCGCAAGGCAACCCTACGGCCAGATCCACGATCTAGGCCCTGGATCTACTTAAGCTCGAATATTCGCTTAGGATCCAGAACCAACCACGGACGCAGAGTGAAGGTTCTACCACTGCTGCTCCACCCCATCCCCACGTCTCGCCAAGACACTCAAGCTTCACCACTTGAACGCTTTGGAAGTTACCGAGAGAGCAGATCCCGCCCTACCGACGGGTACACAAGGTGAGGAAAGCTCAGCGGAACACGGATCATCGGGGGACCCCCTCCGTTAGTCGGTGTCTTGGCGCAGTTGGTAAGTTGGATCCAGCAATCTTGCAGATTTTGCTGATCCCGCTACACCACAATGGTGCGCGTGCCCGGATCTTTTGGTGACTCGGGATTTCACCGTGAGTCCCAAGAAGATGCTCAAGTGAAGATTGAGCCAGAGGAAGAGGCGTCGTCGGAGGTCGGAGCGAGGAAGACGCTGCTGAATTGAATGAAACAAGATTCGCGGATCGATGGAGTCCTGGGAGGAACTATGTCGACGGAAGAGAGGTGGATCCGGATCCGGATCTAGAAGAGAAACCTCTCTATCCTCCCCAGGTCCCCTTGGGGACCCCTGTGGATCTTGACGCAAGTCAAGCTCCGCTAACAAAACAAGGGAAAGTGAAGGCGAAACGGTATGCATTTGCAGATTCACCGATTAAGCCAACATCGAGCATCTGAAGGCTTCCATATACTATGTTGCAGACCCGAGTGTATACTCACCTAAGAAGGTTATAGAGCTGATTCTTGCAACGACCGCTCTGCAGAAACAGTTCCGAGGCAAACACAGTGAGAAGAAGGGTAGCCAGCAAATAGGACATGGCAAAGAGGTAGAGGGCAAAGACGGCTCTCGAGAGGACAAGCCTGGTGGGTCCAAGAAAGTGCGGCAATGCTATTTTTGTGGGAACGAAGAACCCATACGGCTGGGTTGTCTTGATAAGTCGAAGATGCAAGCGAAGTGAAGTGTTGGAGATCCCAGGTATCGTCTCGCGACTGTTTGACTGAGGATCGAGTCGTTGCCTCGACTTCAGTGTGCCTAACGGGGGATGATTGGCGCCCCTTCGCGTGCGGAGAATGTGATCGGGGCCTTTCGCGCCTTGGCTCGTCCTTACTACCCTTCTTGGGCGAAGACTTGACCGATGACTTCGGACTTGAAGCAGAACGCTCCATCGAGCGCGAGGAGACGTCATGCGCACTGGTGATCTCGACCGTTTTGACATAGATATAGCGTTGATGATCAGGGTATAAAGCCAAGATAGACCATCCACGTGACCCATAGAAGTACCAGGCTTGTGAAACACCTTGACGCGTAGTTGGGACAGTTCCATGTCTGGTGTAGTGATTTCTCCATAGTTGCGGATAATCGCCCGTCGACAAAGACGCGACATCGCCCAAGATGTCCAAGCGACGAACCCTCGGTCGTGTGATGTACAGTGACTCCAAGGTGCAAGAGACTCGA